CACGCTTGGCGAGCGGGTTGGCAACCGCAGTTTTTTTTTTATCGTACAGTTGCTGTTATCAGGAAGATGCTGCTGCCCATCTCCTGCCTGTCTCCCTCTGTCGCCTTTTACGACACCCACGGGAAGATATGGGGTAGTGGATATTCTTAACCGCCACTACACGGCTCACGTCGACCATGGTAACGGCGGGGCAGGGGGGTGCTAAGAATCTCCGGTGGAGGTTCGGTTGCCACCTACGACGACTCGACCTGGCAACATTTAACGCACGCACACTGAGGACTGACGAGAAGATCCTGGAGCTGGAAGAAGAGATAGACAAGTTGCGCTGGAGTATTATAGGATTATCCGAGGTCCGAAGAGAGGGGGAGGACACGGTGATTCTCGAATCCGGCAACTTGTTCTATCACCGGGAGGGCAACCATCTGTCCCAAGGAGGTGTCGGATTTATCGTCCACAAGTCTCTCGTCAACAACGTTGTAAAGATTGGGAGTGTGTCGACGAGGGTCGCGTACCTGATACTCAGAATCACCAAACGGTATTCGCTGAAGGTCATACAGGTTTACGCACCAACCTCGGCACATTCCGATGAGGAGGTGGAGGAAATGTATGAGGATATTTCCAAAGCCATGCATTCCTCCAAAACCCACTACACGGTGTTGATGGGAGACTTCAACGCAAAACTAGGCACAAGAGAAAACGGTGAGCTGAAGTTAGGGAAATTTGGAATAGGGCAACGGAACCGAAGGGGCCAGCAGCTGGCCGACTTTATGGAGAAAGAGGGACTCTTTATGATGAACTCTTTCTTCCAGAAGCGGCCCCACAGGAAGTGGACCTGGTCGAGGCCCGACGGTTCGACAAAAAATGAGATTGACTTCATTATGACGACCAGACGCCAACTGTTCAGTGATGTCTCAGTGATCGCAAGGGTGAAAACTGGCAGCGATCACCGAATGGTTAGAGGCACACTGAACCTAAACGTTAAGTTGGAGAGGTCTCGTCTAATGAAGTCAACGCTCCGTCCCCCCTCGTGCTCTAATCCAGAATCCTGAAAACTTTCAGCTCGAGTTACACAACCGCTTTCAGTGCCTACAAGATTGCAATGCAGTGGACGATATGAATGACAAGCTCGTGGAAACTGTCCATGCGGTCGGAGCTAAGTTCTGTAAGACACGCCGCAGAAGAACACAAAAACTCTCCGATCACACTCTTAATCTCATGGCTATTAGACGGGAGATGAGGCTGCAATCGTCAACAGATTTGACAGCATACAGGCAACTGAACAGACAGATCTCCAAATGCATGCGGCGAGACTTACGCAACTTTAATACTTTTCGTATTAAAGAAGCGATCGAGCGGAACCAGGGGCTCCAAAGTCTTTGCCAGAGAACTTTCTGCCAGAAAGAGCCAACTGTCAAAGCTGAAGACTGAGTGTGGCAACATCGTTTCCGGGACACCTGAGATTCTGAGTGAGATTGAGAGGTTCTATGGGCAGCTGTACACATCATCGTTGGAGCCACACTCAAGTGTGAGTAACGATCCAAGAGCAAGTCTTATCCGACACTATTCCGATGATATCCCGGACGTCAGTCTGAGCGAGATTAGAATGGCTCTCCAACACCTTAAAAACGGCAAGGCCCCGGGCGAGGATGGAATTACAGCGGAGCTTCTGAAAGCGGGTGGAACACCGGTACTTGAAGTCCTTCAGAAGCTCTTCAATTCCGTCCTCCATGGTGGCACTACTCCAGAGGCGTGGAGCAGAAGTGCGGTGGTCTTGTTCTTTAAGAAAGGCGACAACGCTCTCTTGAAGAACTACAGACCGATTTCCCTTCTGAGCCGCGTCTACGTGCTGTTTTCGAGAGTCATTACGAATCGTCTCGCAAGCAGACTCGACGACTTCCAGCCTCCCGAACAAGCCGGTTTCCGAAAAGGCTTCAGTACCATAGACCACATACATACCCTGCGGCAGATTGTACAGAAGACTGAAGAGTACAATTTGCCACTTTGCCTGGCGTATGTGGACTATGAGAAAGCCTTTGATTCCGTCGAAATTTGGGCGGTGCTGCAGTCCCTTCAGCGGTGCCAAGTTGACTGTCGGTATATCGAAGTGCTGAAGTGTTTGTACAGTAGGGCTACGATGGCTATCCGAGTACAGAACCAGAGCTCGAAACCTATCCAACTGCAGAGAGGTGTAAGACAGGGTGACGTTATATCCCCGAAACTCTTCACCGCTGCTTTGGAAGACGTTTTCAAGCTACTGGACTGGAAAGGATACGGTATTAACATCAATGGCGAGTACATCACTCACCTTCGATTTGCCGACGATATAGTCCTTATGGCAGAATCGCTGGAGGACCTTAGCACTATGCTCAATGACCTCAATGGTGTCTCCCAACGGATAGGTCTTAAGATGAACATGGACAAAACAAAGATCATGTTCAATGTCCATGTCACACCTATGCCGGTAGTTGTGGGGAGCACTATGCTCGAAGTTGTTGACGAGTACGTTTACCTGGGACAAATAGTCCGACTAGGTAAGTCCAACTTCGACCGAGAGGTCAATCGACGGATTCAACTCGGCTGGGCAGCGTTCGGGAAATTACGACACATCTTCTCGTCAGGTATACCTCAATCTCTGAAAACTAAAGTGTACAACCAGTGCGTGTTGCCAGTGATGACTTACGGATCAGAGACGTGGTCCTTCACTGCTGGCCGTATGAGGACGCTCAAGGTCGCTCAGCGAGCTATGGAGAGGGCTATGCTCGGAGTTTCTCTGCGTGATAGACTCAGAAATGAGGATATCCGCAGTAGAACCAGAGTGACCGACATAGCCCAACGGATTAGTAAGCTGAAGTGGCAATGGGCCGGCCATATAGCTCGAAGAACCGATAACCGATGGGGAAGAAAGGTTCTCGAGTGGCAGCCTCGTACCGGTAGGCGTAGTGTAGGGCGACCCCCCACTAGATGGAGTGACGACCTGGTAAGATATGCAGGAAGTCGATGGATGCAGGTGGCTCAGGACCGTGCTTTGTGGCATTACTTGGGGGAGGCCTATGTTCAGCAGTGGACTTGTGAAGGGCTGTAATGATGATGATGATGATACCTCACGTACTTGTCGTAATGGTCTCTCTTAGCAGGTAGGTTGGTAACCACTGTTTTTTTTATTATTTTAAGCTGTTATTTGGGAATGCTGCTGCCCTTCTCCCATTTCTGTTTCCCTCTGTCTCCTTACGATACTCATGGGACATGAAGTATTTATATATATAGTATTCATGAAGTAGTGGATGTTCTTACACTGCCATGACACGTTAAAGTAAAATGTAATTATTAAATAAATAAAACTAGTTGTTACGGATTTTACCGCGTAAATTATCTTATTTTATATTACCGATGTTTCGAGCCCTTTAAAGCACCAATGGTCACGGGGTACTGAGGTATTCGACGTCCCAATGTCATTGTTAACTACGGCTACCTCCACATTAAAATTATTACTTATAGTATCTTGAAGTTTTGCAGTTGTATGCTTGGATTGTGGTTTAATTTTATTAATTATGGGATCCCAATTGTTGAGTCGAACGTGTGCCTACTGTACTGCCATATGTCTCTGACAAGATTGGCTACATATTGAAACGTGCTTAAATTAAAACCTACTTCAAGCTGCCAAAAAAGATAAGCCAGTTTTACCATCAGTAAAGTGTAATGTCCCTCTGCAAGATGCAGGAGTGTACAAACTTGTTGTGAATGTGGTCTCTCTAACATAGGACAAACAAAAAGACCAATAAAACCCGCGTTTAAAAAACATAGCTGATGTGAGAAATCGATGCTCCGGGAAGTTTGCAGTCTGTGAACACGTAAAGGATCGCCCCCATCACTATATCGGATTTGGTTGACCACAAATCCTCGTTAAAGAACAGCGATTCCTTCCAAGAATGATTTAAGAGGTTACTGAAATAAAATAAAAAAACATCCTTATTTCAAACAAGAAGATGGCTGGGTGCTACCACCTGCTTGGGTTTCTATAATTAAATCCCAACCCTATCCAACACCATGGGTGCTCGAAACGTCGAGAAAGTAAAATAAATTAATATACGCGATAAAATCCGTAAAAACTACTTTCATTTAAATATTTAGTGTTCGCGTAAATACCATAAATCTTTTTTAAATATTTAATAGTATATAATTTTTATATATTTTTGTGCATAGACACTATTTCATAAAATTATCATATTATATAACTGAAACATAAGATGTGAGAGCAATTCTTTTGAAGTCAAAGAAGTATTTTCCTATTATACGTATTGGATAACGATATTGCCAATATGGCTTCCAGCTACGAGACAAACAAAATAAATTTTTGTGGTTCAGAGCATAGGTATCAATTCTGGCACGTAACCTTGTGTATCTAGAGAACACAATATCTTTGAACAATAGCAAACGATTTATTATATCAGTAGTCCATATTTCTCTATTTTATTTTAAGTTTTTATTTTGCTATCTGTTCTTTCAGGAGAATAAAGGTTTGAATTTGCTCTTTGGAATATAATTTTCAAAGTATAATTTTAAACCAACTTGAAGAAGAAAAAAGAACTAAACTGTTATCCCCGTAGTTTTTCATGTGTAAGATTTATTCAGAAACTACTCCACATATTTTATGATTATTTGACTGAGGTGATCTTCATAATAATGGGAGGATTCTAGTTAAAATATATAAACGTTTTGTATGTTTAAAATAAAGCTTATTCATATTAAAAAAAAAGCTTATTCATAACCTTGCGCTTGGAAAACGAAAGAAGAAAATATTTTGTAGCGAATAGTACTTAAGTTAAAATATTATTAAAAATACATAAGTAGTAGCCGAATAATATTAGAAGTCTTAACAGGACTTATACGCTCACTATTCCTGAGTTTATTAAGTGTTTAAAATGATAAAAATAATCAAATCTGTACCAGCAGCTTTTGGGTTTATTTCATCGTACAGGTTGAACTCTAGATTTGTTTCTTACCGCTTAGTATTTTCCATATTACTTTCTGGTAACAGATCGTCGCTGTTTAAGGTGGCTGCAACTGCTGTAACAAAAAATCAGTATATAAGTATTTTAAAAAGCATTCAAATCACATAAGGGCCTCCAGCTTTTTAAGGTTTTTTTTAGTGTAAAATAACTAATCATATAGATGATTTGTCAATGCAAATTGGTAGGGCTCCTTTTCTGCCCAGGAGCCCTTCAACGTATTTGTTAGTTACCCTTTAACTTATTAGCCCCGCCAAATAGAAATGCGTGCACTACTTTGTTACCACCCTTTAACTTATTATTCCCGCCAAATAGCAGTGCGTGCACTGCTTTGTTACCACCCTTTAACTTATTATTCCCGCCCAATAGCAGTGCATGCACTGCTTTGTTTGCACCCTTTAACTTATTAGTTCCGCCAAATGGCAGTGCGCACACTGCTTTGTTTCAATCTGAAGCTTAGATCTAGTATAATAACAGACTATCGAATATTCCATCTAAGTCCTAAGAGCTTCTGCTTCTTAATAAAAAAAAACGTTTCTCTAGCCTTCTTTATTTAAACTGAGTTGCAGATTTCCATGGCTGCAGTAGCTATTAACCTTCAGGTAAACTTTAAGTTCATTTGTCAGTTCGGTTCACACGCGTAAATCGAATTACCTAGCAGTGGTATTTTATTATGGGCGTAAAAACCACAAACGAGCATACGCGATGTGCTATAGATACCGATATTCTATAGCACATCGCGTGTGCTTATTATAACTGAGGACTAAGATCAATTATCTCTTCGCCAAAAACAATAAGTCTCCGATACTCATCACCCATCATACAAAATAGAGTAGCAGTCTGATGCTATTTCATACTGCTATTCTGTGCGAGCGTGGTCATTTACAAGTCAAGCTGACCCATTTGTGCGGCATCCATAATACGAATAGCTTGTCTCCACAAAGTACAAATGGTAATGCCACTCCACATCACTTGTCTGTAGTCTGTCGCCAAAACCTCATCCACCAGCAGGGTACACAGCGTGTTAGTGAATTTCAGATGTGAGCACTCACTTTAAATATAATATATACGTGGTAGGTCCATGCCGCAGCTATATTATGGTTTAGCATGAATGGATCGGCTCGACCGGGGAAGGACCATGCTCTCACAAAATACCAGCGTAAAAGTAGCAGCTTGATGCTGCAGTGTTTCCTATGGTGAGTGTATAGAACTGGAGACCCGTTTTACTAGAATCGAGGCATTCCGTCTTAGTCCTCAGAGGTGACAACGCATCTGTAGTTTGATTGAGGTTTAATGGTTTAATGTGGATGTATATGAGCTACAGTCTCCACATACCATCAGGTGGGCTGTGTGTTCGTTTGTCACCCTAATTCTATAAAAAAGAGTAAGCAATGTTACCATAGATTTGCGTCGAAATAAAGCAAAATTAAACGGAAGATAAGACGCATCATCCCGATAAGATCTCAAAATAAGAACAAAGAATTGCTTTTGCTAACCCTCAATTGCTTATGTCCTCCCCAACCTTATAAGGCAATATCTTAGAAAAGCCATCAGTACAGTACTTTTGATACTGTAATGAAGGATTTTCTTAAATTTGAACGCTTAAATTTGACGGCTCCATGGCGTAGTGGCTTAGCAATGAGTTACATCACTATGGGCCGCGGGTTCGAATCCCGCACGGAACAAATATTTTTATGGTCTACAAGTAATTGTTTCGGATCTGGATGTTTTTCCTTGTGAAATTTATGTTTGTAAACTGCGCCCACGATATAGGAGAAAATCCTAGTGTGGAGGTAACGTTTAAAAAAATAAGATTAGATAAAATAAGATAACTA